TTATTGTTCTCTTGCTGGCTCTCTATTGGACTCACACACACCCAGCTGAGCTAATGATACATAAGCACCAGCAATCAGACCTCAGACCCGTCTGTCAGTGTGTCTGTCTTCATCTGTATGGCTGCTTGTATTCACACAGTCTCTGTGTTCATGCATATAATTAATAGTGTGCTCTCCTGACTGTCCTTGAGTTGCGTCATTTCTACACGGGTCTGTGTGTTAATGCATTTGTGAAGGAGAGTGTTTGTTTTATGCGTGTGTGTGTGTGTGTATTGATTTAGTAATGAGCTTCTGGTGTGTTTGTATCGCTGGCGTTTATTTTACTGCACGCTTGTGAGAACGCTTCTCTTGCTCTGCATACTAACACGGTCTCTGCGTCTGCATTCAGAGCTGCCCAGTGTTTGTGTCAGATTGTGTGGACTGTGGTTTTGTTCTGGTTTGTTTGAATATGGACAAACGTCTCGGTGGGAGTTTGAATCTTTTTGGTGGTGTTTTGGTGTAATTGAATCGTCCTCTGGTACGTGTGTTTGAGTTTGAATCCGTGCATATTTCAGACCATTAGCTGTTCTGGTGTGTGTGTGTGTGTGTGTGTTTTCTTTATTTTTACACACATATTGTGCCTGTGATTGAATTCTCAGTTGTTATTGACGGTTAAATGTGATTTGGGTTTTTGGCCACCCAGATGTTTAACATAAGTGTTTATTTAAATCTGTCTTAAAAATTTGGGTAAACGTCAACATGAAATTATGGAATATTTTGAGGGGGAAATCTATCTCTTTCTCTTTCTCTGTATCTTTCTCTATATAAATATTGAATGAATGAATAATTGAATGAATAAATATACATGTTTATAATATTGAACTATATTTTTATATTCTTATTTGTTATTAGAATATTATTCTATATTATATATTCATGGTGACATCATTGCATTTTAATTTTTGTTTTTGAGGACACAAAATTTATTTGTGCATGTAATATTAAAGTAGTATTTAAAGTAGTATTTATAAAATTATAGTGATTTTTTTAAATATAAATTTATAAAATTATGTATGTAATATTAAAGTAGTTTTTATATTATATTTATATATATATATATATATATATATATATATATTGTATTTTAATATTT